GCAATGCCAAAAGAATTATTTGATTCAATAAAATTCTTCCAAGTATTTTTCATTTTGGATTTAAGATTTGATTATCACCAATTACTACTACTTATTAAAGATTACATAAAGATAAAAATTTGGAGAGTTGATTAAGATGACAAAGATCAAGTCTAGTACTAAAAGTTCTTTCTATTTGATCTTAAGAATGCACTAGCTGAATTTCAACATATGATAGATCAAATTTTATATCACTTATCATTTGCTTGATGCTACATTGATGATATTATCATTATTAGTAGCACTCCATAAATTCATGTGAGGTATTTATATGTAATGTTTGAATAATTATGGCAATAAAGATTGTACTTGTATCATAGAAAGTATAAATTCTTCTATGAATGATTACCATACTTGGATCACATGATTATCTTAGAAGGTCTTTGTCTACAACAAGAAAAGCTAGATACCTTGGAGAAAATCCTAACACCAAGTGATGTTTTATGATTTTGGACTTTCTTAAGATTAGCAAATTACTACCAAAAGTTTGTTAAAACTTTAGTATCATTGCCAAACCTTTAATTATTTTCACGGATAAAGATCAACCACGAACTTGGGGTCATGAGCAACAATATATATTCAATACATTGAAGCAAAATTGGGTTCAACTCTAGTGCTTTAATATCCAGATGCTAATAGACCTTTTCAACTACACATAGATTGAAGTGCAATAGAATTGAGAGCAGTCTTGATACAAAAGGATGATTTAGGATGGAAATATGTTATTGCATTTGTTTCTAGAAGTAATAACAATATAGAGTCAAATTACTCATTTTATGAAAGAGAAGCTTTTGCAATAGTTTGGACCATTACTTACTTTCAATTTGACTTATATGATCAATGTTTTATTTTAGTAATTAGCGATTAATCTTTAAAGTGACTTATGGAGTCAAACAAGCTTATTAGTAAGCTTACAAGATGGACTTCATTGCTTCAAGAATACAACTTTGAGATTGTGCATGGAGCAAGCATTACCAATTTGGATGCCAATGAACTTTCTTATAATCCATATCCTTCACAAAAAGATTTAATTGGAGCTCGATAGCATTGAAATTGTGATTGAGAGATAGTTCTTAGATGGTATGCAGCTATATACTTGACTTTAATGTCAAGTTCTACAACAATGATTCTTGATTAGAATTCAAATGAGGAATTCAACAAGAATCAAATAATTAGTAATGTATGAGAAGATCTTGCAATCTTACACAAGTTTCAATGAACATTTCTTTCAGCTATCTCTAACATGGAAAGAGATAGGATTAATCACCAAATAACAAGATTTTGTTGAAAAAATAATTTATTATTTTGTATGTGGCGTGATGAAGCTAAGCACATAGTTCCAAAGCTAGATTAAAGATCCTCTTTAATACACCATATGCATGAAGAACTTAAATATTTTGGAGTGTATAAGATATATTCTATATCATGTAATTTCTTATGTGATAAGAATTGAAGATTTCTTCTATTATGTATGTCACATACTTTAGTGGTCTAATTACTACAACACTAGTTTAAAGGAGTACAGTTTAGCAATAATATCATTGAGGCATTCATCTTCAACAATATGTATTTTGTGGTTCTAATTAACTAGAAGGACTCTTGATCAAGTATAGAAGGCACTTGAAAGTGTGTTGGTTATGCATTTGTATATGGTTTAAATTACATATTATATGATTGATTTGTAGTACTTGATGTGTGATGTGTAATAATCTTTATTTACACAATACTCTAATATATTAAAATGTGCTAATTTTTTAATATATCATGAGCCAATAATGAAGATAACAATATCTTTACTTCTTATTCTCTTACAATTCACAAATGAAAAAAATAAAATAAAAAATATCTTTTTTTTTTAAGATTTTAATTTTAGAAAAGAAACAAGCCTAAGTGAAGAATGTACTTGCCAAAAGGTCTCTTTAAAAGTAGCCCTCTTAGGCTCCTATATTTTTGTACATTTTAAACAATGTTTGCTTTAAGTTTGTCTTCAGATGTAATTTCAATAATAAGAAATTTTCTAAATCTCACATGAAACATATTTAACAATGATGTGTTTATCTTAGATTAAGTTATGGTCTTGATTAATTAGATTTATGTCTAGCTGGTCTTAAAGCTAAATCATGTTAATAAATGCAATATGTAGTGAATAGTTTAAATTACAGTTTTCATTTAAAAATGCTTTTATTCAATCAAGTGTGAATTGTTTTGTTTGTGAGCGATGTTTTGTATTTCAAGTAGATAACAATAAAGGTGAAAATTAAGAAATTGGTTAAAAACACTCATATCTTGACATGTACTTGATATGGACAACCAATAATAGAGACTTGTTGATATCATGACAAGTAAAGACAAAAGATTTCAACATAGAATATTTTATTAAATATGTGATGCAATGCTTATATGACTTGGTTTAATATAACTTTTTCATCTTGTTCTATTGCCAATATGCATAATTTGTTAACTAAAAGTAATGTTAGAATACAAATTAAGCATAGAATTATCTATGCCATCAAGTTTTTAGTAGTTACAAGTATATTTTCTATAAATTAATCCAACACTATAAAATATATATATATATATATATATATATATATAATTTAAGATATGCCAAAATGCAGCGAAGATGCCATGAAACATCGACTCCTCAGCTTGTCTTGAAAACCTTGCAAGATGTCTGGCAGGGTTACCAACAAATGCCCCTTCTGGACGAAATCCTCGTTTCTCAAGTGAAGAATACCGCAAGGCAGCACAAAGTTAAGCATGATCCCTGTCTAGATCGCAATGAATTGGTCGAGACTATTGTTTACCCAATAAATCAATCGAGGCATTGTTGATAGGACTCTTGTTTGTTCCAAAGATCATCGTGTGCATTGCTTTAAGATAAAGAAATAAACAAAAGTGATGCTTGTGATTAACCAAAATATTCTGTAATATTTACTTGTGGTCCTTAATTAGGTCAATTTGTTTTAGATATTAAGCAACATGTATCCAAAGATTCAATATGACAACTAAGCCTGTAAACTATGATGGTGTACTGCATGTTAATACAACTATTACATAGCTTTTTAAAATGCAAAAATATTCATTTCATAAAATTCTCAATTTATTACAATGATGATCAATCTTCAACATAATTAGGACATGAAATATAGTATAATCATGGCTCTACACAGCATAAAATTGCTTGTTTTATGATCTTAAAGTCAATAATACATCTATCTTCATTTTAAAACTGACACTTTCTGAGTTTTAATTTAAGCCTCTATTTTAAGCTTTCATGCCTACTTAAACCAATTTTAAAATTCTTTTCCTACTTCAAGAAACACATATTACAAACTCTAAATGTCGTCAAAATAAATAAATAAATAAACAAAATTACCAGGTTAAATACAATTCCTTATTTCACTCCACAAAATCTCAAATAAGAAGGACAATTTGCCCATAAAATTTAAAATCTGAGCACAGGAATTTATATTTTTGTTAAAAGTGAACAATTAAAATTTTAGGTGAGGCAAGAGAATATAAGTGTTAGGGTTAAAGCAAATTACAATTCGCCAAGTGGACCCACGAGACAAGCCAGATTAAAGCCAGGTCATGCGTTGGCGCCATTTCCACCTCATTCCCTTTCGAACTCACTGTCTACACCAAGATAACCTTCCGTTCCACGTTCCCCTCCCCCTTCGTTCCTTTCCACGTTCCCCCCAACGCTCCTAACCACGTTCACCACGGAAGCCTCGTGCGCAAGCTCCCCGCGCCAACGCATTGCCACGTAGGTCGAGTTTCTATTGCCACGTAAACAAAAAAATTATACTCATCGTGTTCCATAAATCCAGTTCAGATTTTATCGACTTTCTCTTTTCAGTAATTACGTCGACTTTACTTTTGGACCACTTTAACCTCCACGTATGTAGTGGATAAGGTGCCATCTCGGAACCCTCCAATTGAATCAATCGCGACGATCTATGCCGTCCATGTCAGAAATTGTGCAACACAGTGACTGGCTACAGCAAGTTGGGATGGATCGAACAGGTTATTCGTATGCCAAGTGGCAGCATCGGAACGTTTGTCGTATTAGTAGACTGGAGAGTACCGGCTGTGTCTGTGTGCTGGAAACCAGCACTGTCCACGATGACTTGCATGGGATAACTCTATTTTATCCAGAAGGATTGCATAATTGGATAAAAGATAAACTTAAGTTTTATCTGCATTTTTTTCATTATGCTGGATGTTGGATGATGTATCGATGGATGATAATTCTACTTGGATTGACAGTGGGTTTGTTCAGTTGGATTGTGGTGTAAGTTTGGAATACTTTCAAGATCTGTGCATGTATGTATCCCAATCCTACACAGGGACCCAAAAGGCCAAAACCCATGTTCTCCTTGTGGGGTCCTATAGTGAAGGATCCCACATATTGAAGGATCCCAAATCTTTCATGAAAGGGAGTGCACAGGGGCCTGTTGCCATGAGGTAGGCTGCTCAGAATCTGGAACCCCTAGGGGATGAGTACTAGGTATTCTGGTCCAAGTCCATGGAAGGACCCATCCCAGCAGCATCACACCCTGGAGTAGTGCACACAAGCTCAGATTTGTCCTTAGTCAAAAAATGCAACTTCATACATTGGCATCACATGGACAAAGAGCCCTATGTGCACACCACCAATCCAACTTGTCTGACATAAAAAAACAGCTATCAATTTTTGTATATTTATTTATTAAAACTCAACACCTCCATAACCAATGAAGTATCAGCTTCCAATAGCAGACATAGTTTTCATCCATCCATAGATTGGCTGCTTCGGGAATATACCCGACTATTATTTACGTTTACGCGGCAATTAGGTTGCAGTTTTGTGCACGGCAGATCTTATTCTTAGAAAGTCAAGTTCGGGATGGGCCCACGTCACCCATCTGGAGCGGGAGAGGGCCCCCACTAGCAATATAGCAGGCACACATTTCAGCACAATTGGCATAAACTTCCATTCAATTCCCACTCCTACACTCTGCAGCAGCGCCATATTGTCGCGATTACAGAGCATATTTCTTGTCTCCGTTCCGTGTTAGCTATTGAAGAAGTTGTACTCGGTTGAGCCTTCGAAATCAGGATTGGAGTCTAATTCAATCTTAGGCTACTTGGGTGTTAACGTTGACAGGGACGTTGTCAGGGCGGCTGCACACACAGCTGAGTGTTACGCTCTTGAGGCGCTTGTTGTGGAACTGAAAGCTGCTTAAGAAGACTCGACTCCAGGTTATTGCGGTTGCTCTTGCGGAGCTACATTTGATCGCTTAACCAGATTTTGTAAATACAATCTGTGCGTACAGGCCACTTAATTTGTCGACACTACAAGGATTAGAGGAATTAGAGGACGTTAGCTCTTAACACCAGTTGCGCTCTCTCTCTCGCAGACGCACAGTTTGTGCAACCATTTATTGCCCCTGAAGTGTGTGACGGGGTTTGGAATAGTTCTTCTGTGTGAAGGTTTGTGTGTCGAAGGGAACTTTTTTTTTCCTATCTACTCTTGGTGAGTTCGATCGTCTGTCAGAAATGATTACCAGCCAAGCAATCCCAATTCCCAGCGCCAGGAGTGCATTCCAGCAGGGAGAGTACGTAGTGACTTCCTCCCCGCGAAGCCTGAGTGCTATGAGCTCGAGCTCCAAACCGAAGGCAGGTGTGGCCATGGCGTTCAGTGCTGGAGCAGCCACGTCCAAAGACCCTTACTCCACTCTCGGCTTGAGCCCTGGCGCCACAAAACATGAGATCAAGAAGGCTTACCGACGCCTTGCGCTGAAGTACCATCCGGACGTTTGCGAAGGCAACCTCTGTATTACAAATTTCCAGCAAATCAATCACGCGTACGAGGTATTTATTTATCTATTTTTACATCCAGTATGTATCCAATATGGGAATGCCTCAGTAATGGGTCGCGGTGTATAATATTCCTAATGTTAAGATTTGTTCTCTTTTCTTTCCGATGAAGCATACTATGTTCGGAGTTGTCTTGGATCATTTGTTGACATCCTTTGCTGATACTTTTCTGCAGACGCTTCTCAACAACTCCACGTCGCAGTTCGGACAATTTGAAGATGACCTGTCTGACAACTTGGAAGGATTTATGGGAGTTGAAGATGACTCCTGGGAAGACTGGGAAGAGTGGATGGGATTCGAAGGTGCTGGCACTCTGGACTTCTCCAATCATGTTAATCCGAACTTGTAGTTTCTTTTCGGAGACGATACTCTTGTGCACACCATGTAATAAACTCCTGTATTATGCTTTTCTTTGCACGCTGTTTCGTATTACCATGTACATAGCGATGACCGATTGAAATCGGAGTCATCAACTTCACCTTCCGTAGCGAAAATTTTGGAGCGCTACTGGGGCGGATTGTTTATATTTCAGCGTAGGACAGGATGATTCTTTCACATGACAGCCGAAGGCTATGTGGGATGTTGAAGCTTGTGGCTTGTACTATGAGACTATGAAAATTATGAATCACTATTTTGAACTGTACAATTTGGTGCATGTTCCTCTTCTTGAGGAAACGTTTTTTGTCGGATACATGGGATTTATATATTTAGTATTGTACCTTCCAACACGCACTTGATCCATGATGCTCGGTGTTGATTTCTTTTACATGCCTGTTCACCGTCAGAAAAGACCAGATATTCTTTATTCTAGCACTTTGCGTATATCACTAGATGAATATCACTGTGCTTATTTATTAACACACTTTGGCCAAAATCTCTGCAAATGAAATCGACTTCATTAGCATACAAATTTTGTATATTTGACAATAACGTACCTGACATGGCAGTACGATTACATAGACCATGCAAATATCTCATTTTCTATCCAATACTTGTGCAAATGTACTGCTCTTTCTCTTCACTTTCAACTATTCTTGAGCATCTTGCACACGCATTCCAAAAATAAATTCCAATGTACCCGCATGTTCACAAGTCCATTTCAATTGACATTACTAAACGAGAATTTCTGCTGTTGAAAGACTTCAACTTTCTTTAACTTTAGGCTTTGTGGACTCTGTATTACAGTGGGAAGGTGGACAGAAATGTTGTGTCACCTTCTTAGCAGTGTCCTGTTTCATTTCTGGCAAAGCAAAACCACTATCACTTGCAGGAAATTGTCATCGTGCTTTCATTAATTCCAGTAATACAGAGTTGGGCAATAAAAATTTCCACAACACGAATGCTAAATCCACGAGAGAATCTAAAAATCATAGTTTCGAGCAAAGCAGGTGCATTTCGAATCGATTCTATCTACCTCTTACTATTAACCCTGCTTGAATTGGTATCTCTCCTACTTGCTTGTTCGCAAGGACCCCTTATCCTACAACAAATTAGGAGGAAACTGAAGATCGACACTATGAAGGCCATTAAAGAGAAAAGGAACTTTCAAGTATCAACAAAACTTCCAACGAGCGTTGCAATTTACACACTGGACAAATGTAGTCATGGGCTCATCGGCACTCCGAGTCTGGAGTTGGAAGTACGTTGTCTTACGTTGCCCGCACTTGCCACACCTGAACTGATCAGTGGATGCCACGTTCTGCAGCCCTCGCTCACATTCAAACAGAGCCTTCTCTCTGATGCTCTCGTTCTCCTTCTTCCTTGCATCACTAGCCATGTCATCGGCAGTCATGTTAGCAATTTCCTCCGGTTTGATCTCGCCGATCAAGATGCGTCTTCTAAAATCTGGATTGTTCTGATCCTTGAGATTAAACATAATGGACCTGCACGAGAGTACTCAACAATTAAAGCACTGCTCCAGCGTGTGTGAATATTAAAAATAAAATAAAGCATCTCCTCATCATGATACAAAAATTACCTTGATATCAAAGATATACTCGCATGCTCAAGACAGAATACTTAACCCCTGGTTCCAGGAGATAATTGAGTGGAAAAGGTCTACTACATACCTGTATTTTGCTTTTTCACTTCCTTTAGATTGTCCGAGCTTGGAAAATAATGCACTTTCCACAGCTACTGCCACTCTCACTAAGTCCGTCTTCTTCACCATCGCAAGATGTTCATCTGTAACCTCACTGCAACACTTCTTAAAAGCTTCAATGAGGAATTCCCGGAATCTGTCCCGGGTGGAATCCCCAGCCTTCGTAAGGTTTCCAACCTTTGGTTGAAATCCAGAGCCATTAGCTGTGCCATTTGCTGTACTATTTGCTGAGCTTGATGGCGCTGTTGACGAAGCTGCAATTTTCCCTGCGACGTGGGACTGGGGTGCCAACGGAGTAGCGCTCTTACCGGCAGGGTGAGGCTGGGGCATTGCACGGACATTCTTCGTTTCTACCCTTGGAGATGGAGAAACGTTCGTCGATTCCACTTTCGGAGATGGAACGGCATTCTTAGTATCCGCCCTGGAAGTCTTCGAAGTATAAACTTTCACTTCTGTCTTAACTTCCTTCTTTACCACGGTTGCTGGCGGTGTCCTACCTGGGGTTTCGGGTTTAATGGTGGGCGAGACTTCCTTTGAGGTGCCGCTCTTGATTGCAGCTTCATCTGCGACCACCTTCTTCCATTTTTCCAGAAGCTGCTGTGCAGAACCCGATATTTTCGAGGACTGATGTTTTGTTAGCTTGCGCAGCCGCTTGCCAACCTACAACACCATTGTTGCGTCAATTATGTACATCTTCAAAACGCGAGCCAACACCATCCTTGTGAACGACTCAGGGGTAGCTTTGCAGTGACAAAACCTTCTATGAGTACAACAATCTTACTTTAGCTGCAGGAAATAATAACAATAATAATAAATAGGTCGCCACATAGAAATCCTTTTTCACATGCAGCTCCGTCGCTATCCCAGGGTCTAAAGAATGTAAGGATGGATAACCAGACAAAGATAACAGGATGAAATGTAAAAATACACCTTAAAAACATTAGAGTACAAAGCTGCTCCAATGTTACAATCAACATATCATAGAACTCCAGCCTATATTAATAGGCTAGAAAGTACGATAATCTCCAAATCACGAACACAACTTGCCTCCCCTACGCAGCCATTTGCGACTTGAAGGATATGGCCTTAGAGAGGATATCAGTAGCTCTTAGTGTAAGATCTACTCCATGTTCCCGAGAAGCTGAGACTACTTACGTGATTACTAAAATTGAAAGTCCCAGAAAACTCTTCTCCTACCCGCAATGGACAAACACACATCCCTCACAAACATCAGAATAAGTTTCCTCTGTTGCTAACTCTCAACGTCCTTCAAGTACCATTATCTCACAATATGCGCCCCAACTGCTGCCGATCATCGACATTCCACGCAAAAGCAAGGGACGAAGAAAGAGACGCAGATAACCACTCACTACCCTGAGTTGTATTACACAAAATATCGAAGCCACTAAAAATAAAAATAAAAATAAAAATCCCACCCACCTGCGTCGATAACAGTATCGACGTGCTCACTTCGACGGCGCCCATGGCCTTCAACGCCTCCTGACACCGCATCTCCTCGGCGGCCAAGACGGCTCCATCGCTAACAGCCTTCTCTGCAGCATTGCTCGCCTTCTCAAACAAGGACACTAATTCCGCCTCCGCCATCTGTAACAACCCCAAATCTCCTCCTTCCAACTGGAAATCAGCGCCCACTCAATCTCCACTAAAAAACCCTCTCCACAACCCTAATTCAACACCACAAGCCCACCGTTCCCTATTCGAAAACATCCACGAAAGAAACGCAAACCCCGAGCAATCTCTCCTCCCCTCTCCAACACGCAATAACATCCACTCACACACTCAGCACTCAACCGCTCTGCACCATGCACAGACGTAAAAACTCCAGTGTCGCAAAAACCCTGGTCCCGAGACTCCAACTGCGACGCCTAACAAACACCCACCAAAAATTCACCACAACCCACGCTCAACAGTTGCTGCAACAACAACATCAACACGTGCAGCCGACGATCATCGAGCGGGAGCCGGAGAATTGTGGGAGAGTTGAGGCTCAAACAAAAGTCCGATTAAGCGAGAGCGAGAGAGCTTGGCAGAAAGATGCTCCCGCCGCTGCTGAGGGTTTGGCTCACTCACTCACTCACTCACTGCTAATCAGAATAACTATTAAAACAATATACCAAATCACAATACTAAATCAGAATAATGCCTAAAGTATTGCTCAAAGACTCTTCCCGCTGTGTGTGTGTGGGGGGGGGGGGGTTGCTGTATGGCAGTGTAGAGTTTCGATGAGGCAATTTTCATTATGTGGATGTAGTTCCTTCTGTTTGAAGAATTTTATCACATATCATTCATTATTAGGTTCAAAAAGACTATGTGGTGTATATATAATGTGAATACCATTGCTTTTTAAATTGATAGATTGTGCAAGAAAAGGAACCATATATGTTTTGAATAATTATTAATATATATACAGTGACAAACAAAACCGAGTACAAAATCTGAAGTGCCAACTTTCAAGAGCAATTACAGAAATTTCAATGATTGCTTTATAAATCTGAAAGTTACATGGAATAATACACACAGTCTTGTACACATGTACAAAGTTGCACATCAAATTGATAACTAAACATCCTTTTACAAAGTCAAATCAACAACTATGTCTTGTACTCAATATTGTTCAAAGAAAATCTTCAAACTTCAATATTTAGTCCAATAACCTTTTGCTTCCAAAACAGCTGAAATCCTTCTTGGCATACTTTTGTATAGTTTCTCACAATCTTTTGCATCAAAACTAGGATAAATACTACAAACATTCTCCCACAATTGTTGAACACCTCTTGGCCTTGGAGTGACTTGGCTTAAACGCTGTTTGAGAAGGCCCAAAAATGTTCCATTGGATTCAAATCTGGAGATTGAGCTGGCCATCGAAGGAGCTGAAATGGCTATGAAAAGAGCCAAAATTGAACACTTTTTGCCGTATGTTTGGGATCATTATCATGTTGAAAAACCACCTTAGTAGGATCTAAGTTGTAATTCTATGTGGTACTTTGCAAGTACGTTTCTAAAATTTTTTTGTACAAGTGTTGCTCCATTCTACCTTCAATTTGATACCAATCACCTGGCCCAAAAGTAGTCATACAACTCCAAATCATAATTGAACCACCACCATGTTTGACAGTTTGACTAACATGTTTAGGTCCAGGTCGTTCTCCTTCTCTCAACCAACACCAAGACCTACCATCTGAGTTGATTAGGTTAATCTTTGTCTCATCACTAAAAATAACCCGTCTCCAATCATCAACAGTCCAATTTTTGTATTTATGAGCAAAACTCAACCTTGCAAGAACATGTCTTTTGGCAAGTAGAGGCTTCTTTTGTTGCACACAAGCACCCAAACCAGCTTCTCTTAAACCACGCCTCAAGGTGATGTCTGAGAAGTGTTTACCTGTTTTTTCTCGAAGTTGTTTTGCAGCTGCACTTGCCGTTTTGAGACAACCAGCAGTGACAAGGTGCACACCAAGTCGCTTCTCTTGCTCTCCTAAAACCTTTGGACGTCCTTCTCTTTGCTTTTCTATTTCACCACTAATCTCCCTCCTCAGATGAGCTACTGAAGACTAACTCATTCGAAGTGAGTCTGCAACTTTTCTTGTAGAAACACCACTCCTAAGCTACACCAATGCTTGGTGCTTGAACGATTCACACAATCAAGGCATAGAGATACAATTGACAAATCAACTTTCACTGTAGATGGTACACAACAAGAGCAACACAATAAACAAAAAATATCCTCAAATCTTGCAACAAGGAGTGTACATTGAAATTTCGAAATTCAGCAAGAAGAAGCAACCAAAATTGAGTATGCACGTCTGTGTGCTTCTACAACACTTTTCTCATAAATCCTACCTCAAATGATAATGAGATTTTTCATCCATGTAGAGGATTGGATGAATACACACAATAAAAAAGTAATTCTATCAATTGACTTATGTGTCAGTTGGAAGGATCAATGAACTATGAGTGTTCAGATTTTGTACTCGGTTTTGTTTGTCACTGTAGATATAGATATAGATATAATAAAAATTAATGGAAAACAAGCAAACCATATCTTTTTATATAATTTACATCAAAAGATTTTTTTTTTTTTTTTCATTATAACTATAATTTGTACAATATTTTTTTGAGTAAATATTATATGTTTATATATATATATATATATATATATATATATAAATTATCTATTGAGTTATTACATAAAATGATGGTTAAGTGAAGAGTTATTTGCTTTTAGGTTCTTTTAGTAGAATCTATATTGGCAATGTAATCAACATATGTGATAATTTTTTTATATTATTATTATTATTATTAATTGATTATGTAGAATTTTTTTTTATAAAAAATGATATTTTAAATTTTTTATTTATATTAGCCATATATTAATAGATATTCATTGGAAGATAATTATCAATATACTTTTAGAAGGAATAAAATTTAAATAGACATGCATATTGGTTATGTTCAAAATTATATATTATGATTAGTGTATGTGAATTTTCATTTTAAAAATAAAAACTGAATTATAAAGAATTAGAGAATTAAATATTTTAATTTTTTTATATACATAATTTCTAGAACTAAAATGTATTTTTCATATATGTGTTGATGTGTTATATTGTTATGAAAAATAGTTTTTATTAATCTTGGTTATATGTAATTACTACAAAATCTATATTTATCTATAAAGAATTTGAAAATAGATATATTTATATTTTATTTATATTTTTAATTTTAAATGATGCAATATATCAATTTGATTTTATTTTTTATTTCTATTAAAATTAGTTTTTATTAGTATATATATATATATATATATATAAAGAGAGAGAGAGAGAGAGAGAAAGAGAGAGGGAGAGAAAGAGAGATTATTATTCTTTTTCTTGATATTTTGAAAAACCTTTAACTTTGGAATTTTACTTTTGAAACTCTTTTGTATTTATTTAGTTTCTTCATTCTTAATTACTTCATTCTTAATTACTTAAAGTTTTAAAGAATGTCTTCTAGTATATCTTTGCTTTATTATTCTTTATTTATTAATACTTTCTAATCTTATTGAAACTAAATTCAATTGGGATTTAATAGAATATTGAAATTAAAATTTTAGATGGTTCAAGTTTTAAATTAAAATTTTCAATATAGTATTATTTATAAAAATAATTATTATTTTTTATTAAAATTAAATACTTTGTAACTAATTTATAATCAATATTTCATGTTAGTTAATTTTTATTTTATTATTTTTCATGAAATTTATTCTATTTAAGTAAAAGTTCTATTAAATGATCATTGATATGTTCAATAAAAAAATAATTTCCTTAAATAATATTTAAATCTATATAAAATCTATTTTTATACATATATATTTTTTTATTAGATTTATTTATATATATATGTAATAAATTTATTTACTATTAAATATTTAAATTATATATAAATTTAATAATAATAATTCTTTTATCTACTTAAATTTTAGAATAGAAACTTTTTTAAAAATAAAATAAATTACCTATAAAAACTTTTTACAAAAAAGTATTAGATTCTATCTAAGTAGATATTTTAGTTTAATTCATCATAATGTATAAAATTTCTTGATTCAATAAAGATACAAAGAAGTCCTAAATTAATCTCAAAGAAAAATAATAAGAAATTTTAAAGAAATATAAAAATAAACCTTTACAGAAATAAAAATAATCTTCAAAAAATATTAGAAATAAAAACTTTTAAAGAAAAAATAAAGAATCCTAAAGAAATACTAAAAATAGAAATCCTAATATATCCTAATCAAACCATAATTTAATCCTAACTAAAGCTCTAATAAACTTCAATCAAACTCTAAATCAAATCTTAATTAAAACCCTAATTGAACCTTAATCAAACCTTAGATCAAATCCTAATTGAATCTTAACCAAATTCTAGGTCAAACTCTAATTGAAATCCTAATAAAATCCTAAATCCTAGACAATTTTTAAATCAAATCCTAATCAAATTCTAATCAAATTCTAAATCTTAAACAAACTCTTATCAAGTCTTATAGCAAATTAAAACCTCAACAACTAATAATTGGACTATTGATGTCAACTCAAATTTTGCACACTTCTTGATAACTTAGTTAGAAACAAGCATAAGAAAGATAAAATTGATTGCACTTACCAATTGAGAGAAAATGCATGATAATCCAATTGGGTGTTGGGTGGCCTCATACTCCAACCTAAATGCAAAACTTCCAATGCCAATATCTCCTTCTTGAACTATTAAATTGCTCTCAAATTTCACCCAAATGTTAAAAATCAAGTCTAGTATTCATACAAAAAAATCTCATTTCAAACCAATTGACAGATTGCTAAAGATCTTAGAAACACTTACTAACCCTCAAACTCCAATTTCTGAGACCTCAACCCACAAAAACTCTCATATACTTCAATCTAATTGTTTGATTGATCTTAAAAATTTTATACACATTTATAACTAGCACACCAATAAACTCTCCAAATTTCATTTATATATACACCACAAAACTCAAGAAACCTCCAAATTTATAAACATATTTTTATTTCTCAAATCCTAATCCCACTAAGAATATCATTAACTTTGAAAATCCCTCAAAATCTCAATATTGATTCAAATGACATAAAACAAATGTCCAAAAATCTTTCTTCAAGTTTGTTCTTAAATTCCTCTCTTTGATCTCCAAAAGAATCCTGGAGTTACCGTATATGCATGGTTTTGTGCCTTGGGGTCTGATTTTGACCCATGTTGACTACTAGTCCTCTATGGATATGAAATTTTAGTAATTTGAGGTAAGTTTTGCTTTAACCTATTAGTAACTCTCTCCTAAACATGTCTATATTAATTTCTTATCTCATTTACTTTGATTTCGCTCATTTATACATCTACAAAGTGAATAGAAGTCTCATCTACAAAAAGCACCATTAAAACTAAATCTTATATTACTTTTCTATCATTTATCCTTATTTTTCTACTATATCTTTTAAAATAATACATTATATAGATATCAATACATATATATATATATATATATATATATTTATAATTAAAATAAAAAATAAAAAATTAATTAATTGATGTTATGATTATATAATATTTTTTGTAATAAAATTTGAGGTCCTTCAAAAAATAGTTATTTTTTCTCCATAAGTTTGAGGTAAGATTATTAGAATATCTACATGTTTATACAATTGAATTACCTTGTGCTTAATTTTTCAAGGTTATTATAACTCTTAAAATGGCTAAAAACATCTTCTTAAGATGGTCCAATTGTAGGTCAAAGAAAAAAACTAAAGAAAAAAAAAAAACACATATTATTAATAATAAAATTTGACAAAAATTTTATTTTTATTTTATTTTTTTAAAAAATAAATATTTAAAAATATGTAAAAATAAAAAATATAAATTTATATTTATATTTAGCATCTACAATATTATTTGCTATGGTCTTGATATCTTCTACTTCAAAAGAATACAACACCTATTTTGAAGTTTATTTTATGTATATAAGTACATTGTATAGATCTATAAAATTTAGAATAAATTTTCATCCATAATTCTAAGACTCTAAGTTATCTATTATTTTAGATTAGTAGTAGTAATTAAAAATAATTAAAAACCTCTATTCATTAGACATTGTATATGTAACTAATACTATAGGATTTTGCAACATTAGATAAATTCAATATTACTCAAAGATCTAAAAAACCCTTATGTAACCAAATATACTATAGTTAATAAGAAAATATTTCTAAACTTGATTCTACAACAAATAAATGTTTATGATATATATATATATATATATATATATATATATATATATATATAAATTATTAATTTAAATAGATTGAAAATTTTACAAAATATATACTTATGTTAGAAATATAAGTGATGATTTTAATGAGGCCAAATAAAAGTAATTGAGTTAAAAAATTGTGATTATTAAACAATATAATAGAAGATGCAATCTTATTGCTAATAAGAATTGGATTCAATATTTAAATGTTTGCAAAGATTTTTTTTATTAAAAAACCTATAGACTTTAATGATTATTATTATTACAATTTTTTGATATATATATAATTAAATAAAATTTATCAAATATATAAGAATCTACAAAAAATATTCATTAATATTAGTAACATTTAGAATTATTGAAAAATTATAAACAAACTCTTTATTAAAAATAAAAGAGTATTGTGTCCATAATATTTAGTAAACAACTAATAGGGTGGAGTAGTAAGTATACAAAGTATCAACTTTAATAAATAAAAGAGTAGGAAAGTTCCTAAATATGTCAACAAGCTTTGACATAAGAAGATCAATTTATTTGTAATGATTGAAAGCAAGATGATATAAATAATTGTCTTGTCATCTTTCAATTTCTTTACAATGTACATTGGTTTCTTCTTAATAGGATGATAGATAGATGTGTAGATAGAATAATATTGATGAAAACCAATGTTGGTAGATATTAGAAGAAAGAAGGAGTGTATGAAGATTGTATTAGAGAAGCTTGCCAATTCATTAGAAGATATGATGCAAATTGGCATGATCATGTATATTTTGTTGCATAAGTTTAGAATATATTTTATATAATTTTAAAATTATTTACATAATAT